TGTGCATGAAACTCCTGGAAAATCTGAATAACCTAAGAAGTTGTGGCAGATACAACTGTCTTTCCTGAACAGAGGAAAACAAATAAGTTCTGTTGAAAACTGCCTTTTTCCAATTAACTCTAACTGTATATACATCGTATGAATAATGTTAAGATTTCTATTGATTGCTAAGAGTACAAACTATATAGCTAAAGATAGGAACCATTTTCAAAATGGATAGTGTAGGTATTAAAGAATTTAACTGTTTTCAAGGAAAATAATAAAAGTAAGAAAAATATGAAGATTTCCAACAATAGAGAATGGGATCTACTGTGGTGAAGGGAGAGACAGGCTCAACCATTAGGTTAGTCGATTCAGTTAGTCACCACTGTGGTGTACCTGTCAGCACACTTATGCTGGCTATATTCCGTGCCATAAGCTAAAGAGGGGCAAATACTCCTGTGTCAAAAGAGTTGACAACAGCCCAAAGAATGGCTGAGCAAAATGACTCCAGTAGAAGTAAGAATTAATAGAAAATTGAAATCATTTTTTAACTCTGTATACAGAAATACAAAGCAGAGGCAGTGAAGACCAATAATTTGACTCACACATGCCAGTTTTCTTGATGGGATTTTTCATACATAAAGAAATGTTTTTCAAGTTTAGAAATCTAGAAACCATGACTTATGATGACTCTAACAATATACCCATTTGCTTCTACCCCAGAAAAATTTCGATCTAATTATCATAACTTTTCCTCTGCATCTCCGTCAAGAAATTGTTTTTTTCCATTTGACTTTGCTAACCGCTTTGATTAAGTGTACCTGACCTCTACTCAATAGACAACAACAGCAAACACTTCACCCACAGCCACAATAATCAAGACTGGCCCAGGACTGCAACATGTCTCTTGGGGACAAAATCATTTGCCCTGTTGAGCCACTGATCTAAAGAGAAAAGAAAAAAAAGTGTACACTTTCAATTTTTCATTTTCCTAGTCATCATACAGGAACATAGTCAACCAGAATTTTCCAATAACCTTTCTTCATCTTAGATATCACATGGTTACATTTGGGGACACTTTATGAAAAATTCTTTATCTATGCTGCCATGCATCTTGGGATTTTGTTTGTTCATTTTTAGGGGCACTTATTTCCTTAAGCACAAATCAAACTATCAATTCTTTTTTTTTTTCTTTTTTTTAACAGCATCCCCTATCCTCCAAGTACTACATTGAAGCCATGGTCACAAACTAAGCTAGCCTTAAAAACAAAAACAAAAACAAAAACAAAAAAAAAAAAAAAAAAAAAAAAAACTAGCCTGTCCCTGATAATAATTTCCCAGCGTGTTGATATACCATCATGCCTTTCTAATACAATGTATTTCTTTATTTCATGTTGGCAAAAGAGTTGTATATCTCAGCCTCTTATAATCACTGAAACAACCAATGAAACAACAAAATGAGAACCACAAGTACAGGATGCAAAACACTCAATGCTGTCTATAACTTACAAATCAGTGTATGTTTCCTGGATCCGGTGAAATTTACTTTTTTGTAGAAGCCACCAAATAGTTAGACCAAATCAAGGTGACTGCAACATTTTCTTTGGAATCATCCTGTTCCCATATACAAATCCATTGCCTGTGTTTTAGACTATTTTTACAAAACGTACTTAAACGCAGGTTTTTAGAGATTTGACACTACATTTTTATCCTATAATTATTGCTTTCCATACTGGTTTGTGAGCTCTTTTATGTATTGTTTCTTCTTTTTTTACTCTTGATAATATTTAAATACAGAGGGCTTGGACAAATAATTTTTTTACTTCTTTTGAATTTTTTGGACAAATATTTCTATCACTTTCTTAATTTAAAAAGGAAACCGATATAACTATTAATAGGTAACGATTTTTTTCTGTCAAGATCACCAGTGACATTTAAATTATTGGTAACGAGGAAGACTATGACTAATACTTATAAAATATTTCTACATTATGTGATTATAATTTTCATTTTTGGTAATTCTGGTTTTAAAAGATAACATTTCTTATCACTTAGGAATGATTAAGAATAGTCTGTGGGCTAAATCACTTCTAAGAGTTTTGTGCTGCTTTATTGGAAATTCACCTAGCTTCAGTCCAGAAGAATATATTTAGGCAATTATTTTATGAAAATTATTTATTTTTACTGTTGAGAATTATGTTCAATATTATTCTGACTCTGTTTTTCTAGCCATGATTGCATAGCTTAAAGTATAAAGTAATACTACTTAAAATAACATATCAAATTGTCTTATTTTTTAATAAATTGACAATCATATTTTAGTATAACGTCCTATTAAACATGAGTATTGTGTATTAATATGTTTATCATTAATGTTTCTCTCCTGACTAGTTACATTATCATTACAAATATTTTGTAAAGCTAGGATCCAATTAATTATCATTATAATTAAGATACTTGTGATTATTCAAAGAAAAATCTACAATACGAACTCTTACCTTCTAATAAAATATATTTTTCAATAAATTGGCTTAAAAATGAAAATCAAAATTTCAGCCAAATATAAGCCAACTACTTTTACTTAGCAATAGTATCATAGAGTTGAAGAAAGTTAATTTAGATCCTCTGAAATTATCTGGCATCATAATGTTGTTTTTTTATCTTGTATTTTGGGCTAAATAGTTGCAAATGTATGCAATACTCCAATTTTGCAACCTGTCCTCCTTGCACCCACTGAATCGACACTCCTAAGACTTACACAGAGTTTAATCATCAAAATTGTTATATAAATTATTTTAGAAATCCTTTAATTCATAATATTTACTAAATGTAGGACTTGGGTAATTAAGAGTCATTATTAACCTAGAGCAGAAAAAAATGGAAATTAAAAATTTAACTTTTTTCTAGGTTGGACCTTGAAACGATTTTTACAAATTAAAAACATAAGCAGAAATGGAGAAGAGCACATCTTGCCATCTGGAGAAAACTACATTGACCTGAGATGGGCATATGGGTATCAACAAAGCCACTGGGCAAATGGAATAAAAAGCAAAAAGGTTTTTAGATAGAACATGCACGTAAAAAAACAGTCGTTAAATCTATGTTAAGAACAAACATATATACTTAAGGATTAGATCAAAACTCTCATGAACCTGTGTTAGGGAGGTTATAAGTATTGATCAATGACACAAAAGAATATTAATATACTATCTGTAGCTAACCTAAATTGCCCACTGGAGCTCTACAACCTCTAGTAAAAATATTACCATGGCATAAATGAAACTAAAACAGAAAAACATATAATTTTTTTCCTGACATATATTATGGAAAATCAATTCACTTTGATTTAAATCACTCATCACTAGCATACCCTCTCATCATTAGCAATCCATGCTTTCTCCCATCTATCTTATCTTCTTAGTAAGCTTTCTTTTCCATGAAGGATAATGTCAGTCCGTGATTCCTTAATCTACTGCCATGGGGACTGTGCAACGAACAAACATTGGTTAGTACTCTATAGTTTTTTGTGTTGTATACTTTTTGCTCAAAAAGTTTTTAACATATCCATATCTGTAAAAAGTGATTATAATAACTTGTATATTCTTAATATCTACCAGGTACTACGAAGTATTGTATGTATAGTACTTGTTCATTGAATACATGTCAGTTCACTGATTTATTTCAAAATAAAAAATGTCATTAGTTTCTGCTACTTAATAACCAAACTATTAATGTACATCAGCTGGATGATTAAATTTAGCATAACACATACATATAAACAGAATCCTGTCATGATATCAATGACCATCTTTCTTTATATATAAAACTACCAGAAGAGAAAGTTCATAGTCCAGCTCTCACACTGTGTATCTATAATATATCTAGGGACAGTCAGATAGCTGAGCAGACTAAAGTGCCTGCTTAGGCAGGTGCAAGAACTAGGGTTCAATTCCAGGTGTGCCAGGCCAGCCCTGCCCCCAGGGCACACTGAGACAGCAAATGAAACTGTTCTTTGTGGCGTGGACCAGCGCATGGGATGCTGAAAACAAGAGGATCACTACGAGTCCGATCTACATATTGAGACCCTTTAGACCCTGTATTAAATACATAAAAAAGAAATGTACAATATATCTAAAGATTTAATATATACACACACTGGACAAGTGTGTATAAACTTTAAAAATAGCCAAATACATTTTATATTTTGTTTTGTGGATGTCTACTGAGACCTTGCTCTAAGTTTACCGTTAGCACACAAACTTGTCTAGTAGACACCATAGTGAACCCTCAATACATAACATATATTGTTAGGTGTTACTCTTGATAATGTTTGGAAATTACATTTTGCAATATTTATAACTGTCTTACTGAAGAGATATTGATAGGAACTTTTCTCAACCTTAAGGGGAGCAGATTTATCATAAATTATCAAGCTATGAGGCCTTTATAAGACCAATATAAATAAACAAAATGCATGCAGTCATTTGGCCATTATGGAGTATACAGTTTATGATTCAGCAACATGAAAGTGATCTTCACAGAGTCTGAGATACTGAAAACAAGCCATACTGCAATCATTGTAAGCCAATTGTATTAAGTCTTCTTTCTGCATGATCTGGAGAGCCACGATGAGAATGCGAAGACAAAAAGGATGAGGAGAAAAGGAAAGGAAACATAAGTTACTAAGCATTTATTTTTTAATCTTGGTTTTTGTAAGACATAAAAGAGTTAAGGAAAATACTCATTCCCAATGCATGTTATTAACTTAGGAATATCATGCAGTTATTATTTCTGGAATATTTGTTCACTTAGTAAAAATGGCTTATGGGGAAAAGACAGCCCAGGCGGCTCCAAGGGTATTTTCTATCAATAGATGACCTGAGTCTAATGATATTAGCTCTAACGATCCACCTGAAATGTTTGCAAGTGCTAGAACTGGAGAACAGAGAGTTAAGTACACCGAAAGAGCATTTTAAATATTATTAAAATGGCAGAGCAAATAATTACTCATTACTTACAAAAGTTGTGTTTTCCAATAATAATGTGGTAGCGTTTGTTTCTGTATTCAGTTTAATGACATGTCCATTCTCACTTTTATACACCACATCTGTATCTGCAAAGAACAAAGACATTAACAATTGACTAACACACCGAGTAGGCAATAAAATAACTTTAGGGGAGAAAATGTGCATTATAAGCAGCCACTTTGGAGCAATTGTTGTTAGCCTTCAGTAACCCGAGCAGATTTCTATACTTGGCACACATTAATTCTCTTGAAAGATCAGGAAGCCTGCCTAACACATGGGCTATTGTGCAGTGAAAACAGGGTTAGTGAGAGGACTGCTCAGCTCATGTTTGGACAAGTGAAAATTAATTAAAGGATGGGCAACCTGCAGCCTATTCTGATACTTTGAGAGAGACAATGTGAAGAGCGTACAGTTTCCAAAATGAGATGATACTGATCAACAATCTAGGTTTTTTTAGTTTATGAGGTCTGCACATAATTCTAAACATTCTCACACTGATCTACCCTCTGGCAGCCAAGCTCAGTCAGGTTCTAGCCATTCTCTTCCTGTCTGCCGTATGGAATTTGTTTCTTTGGCATTTATCTGTTTTGTGTAATCAAAAGTCGAAAGCATGGAGGTTGCCACATCATCAAATCTACTTTTCAACTTCTGAGTCAAATTTACCCACATTTTTAATTAAATGATCTTGAAAACATTTTATAGCTAAAATAATAACATGAGGGAAAAGTAAGATGATAGTAAGATACTGAAGATATGTGTGTGTAAAGTTTTTAATCTCCTTTAATATTTGAATGATAATTGCATTTTTAGTTTTTACCAATTCCATTATTCTACATGCTCAACCCCTGAACATTCTTGGAAGTAAGTTAGGGTTAACTGGGATTATTTCCATTATTCATAGAGAAAAAGTTTGAATAAATTAGTCTTAAAATTTGAATGTCTTGCTGGGTATGGGGGCCCACACTTGGAATGCCAGCACTGCGGAGGATCACTAGGAGCTCAAGAACACTCAAGGATGCAAAGTGAGATCGAGGCCAGCCATAACTACACAGTGAAACCATATCTCATAAAGACAAAAAAAAAAAAAAGCCTGAATGTCTTCACTGATTACTGAGAAACAACCACTATGTGGCAGAAAGACCTGACATTTTGGGGAAAACATAATTTTTCTGATCCCTTCTCTTGTTATTACAAATTTGAAAAAAAAATCTTAACTAATAAGCCCTCAGACAAAGGCCTGCTCTCTAGCATTTATAAAAAAACCATAAAAACCATTAGGGCCCCAAAATTTAAAGACCCAATCCAGAAATGGGCATCCAAGAGGAACACACACTTCTCAGAGGACAAAATTATAGAAGCGAATACATATATGAAAAAATGCTCCCCATCACTAACTATCCATGAAATGCAAATTAAAACAACCCTGAGATACCATCTCACCCCAGAAAGAAAGGCTATCATAAAGAAATCAGCCAACAACAAGTGTTGGAGAGGCTGTGGGGAAAAAGAACCCTTCACCATTGCTGGTGGGAGGGTAGACTGGTGCAACCATTATGGAAATCAGTGTGGCGATTCCTTAAAAAAAACTAGGACTGGAAATCCCATTCAAGCCAGCTATCCCCGTACAGGGAATTTTCCCAGAGGAACTGAAAACATCATATCACTGTACATCACTGTGCACCTATGTTTATAGCAGCTCAATTATGTAAATAGTAATTCCTAACTCAAATAGGATGAGAAGTGATCAATACTAGTAAAATGAGTTTTCTTCAGTGTTTATTTGAAAAACTAATTATGATCCCATGTTAAAATCAAAGATATTAGTGTAAATCAATAGTTTTCTTCACCTAGACATACGTTGGGTTTCTTAACTGAGGAATAGGAAAAGACGAATGACATTTTAGAAAAGGAGGAAAAAAGATCACAGAGGGACTTTTCCAATTCCTTTCTAAAGCTGACTACATGGATTGAAAGATGGCTTACTGTGACTTTTTAAATAATCATGCTATCATCTTCTGAATGTCTATTATATGTTATGAATAAATTTTCTTTCTCTAACTTCATGCCCTCTCTTTACTATTAATGCAGAACACATTAGAGGCTCATATAAGTAGTAAAGATTTTAGTGAATATTCCCTTTCTCTCTTCCTTTTCCTTCCTATCCCCATATTTATGAACCATACTGCAGATAAATTGTGTTGCTTAGTTCTGTGCATGCGTTGCTCTGTTGTCTCTCTACTGTCAGTTAGCACCTGCTCCAATAGGAATGTAACCTCAACTTAAATTGTAAGCCGCAACTGTTGCCTATTATTTTCCCTGACATAACTACTTAGCACTATTTCTTGATCTTGAACATATCCCTGAAAACAGCAAGAAGATTCAAGAAGTAGTCTGTAAGAATATGGTCTAATATTCGATCCATAAATTAGGATAACATGGTTTTCTCTTCCTTCCATTTAGGAATAGAGATACCTACAGCTCTCTACATTTTAATGAGTGGTTCTCCACCCAGAAGCAACTACACACAGAATGCTATAAAAGGGGTGATTTCCGTGGCTGTAGACAAAATAACTGAGGTTTCGTATGAATGGTGATCCTTGGCCAGTGGAAGAGAGGAAGTAGGTTGTGGTCTCATAGTGTCTTCGAATAAGAGAAAACACTAAGCAAGTAATAAATTGCTATGAGAAGTGGGAAAGAGCAATTCATTATTTCACTTAGAAAAAGTAGGATGACATAGAAGGAAATTAAGAACCCAAAGAATACGCTTAAATATTAATCTTAAAAAATCCTTATTATTGGATAATTGTTAGGATTTGAAGAAAAATACACAGACTTGAAATTGTATGAATATTTTTATACCTCCAGTCATGAAAATCTTGCTATTGGATTCAATTTGCTGTACAGCACAGATTTTTTTTTAATTCTAGTGTAATTCTTTAACTTACTATTTAATAAAGATTCATGAATTATTTCAGAAGCCTTTAATGATTGTCTTCATTCAATTTTTATCAATTCTTTATAAACTAGACTTCTCTATCTCATATTTATTCAACCTAAATAATCATTTATAATTACATGTGGTATTTCCTAGATTTTGAACTCATTTCATGATTAATAAAATACATTCTGGAGCTACATTTTAAGCCGTCTACCTTGTATTTTATTTAATATTAGGATGGAATATCAGTGAATCAGATCAATGAATAAAGTGCATTAACACAGGAAGATTACAGTAGCTTACTTGAAACTGTCTTAACAGACAGCATTAGGCAAGTCCTTTCTGTACTTTAATTAAATAATGATTCCTGCTTTCTAGCTCATTTAAAGTTAAGAGGCAATTATCCTGAGCATATTCTCAACTCAGTCAGTTTTATTAAAGAAAAGTTTTGACAGGATCTATTCTGAAATCCATGCATGTGTCTTTAGTGAACAGAACCCCCAAATAGTCATTACTCTTATTTTACTTTTGCCATAATTTGAATTTTTTAAAAAATTTTAGCATATATCCTAGTTTCAGATTAATTTGGCAAATGCACTCATGCAATCATATGTTACACCAATTTCACACAAAGTCCGCAGTGGGGCTCTTCATACTGTAATTTAATTCTCAGTGAGTACCGATATTAAGAAGGGAGACACCTTTGCATCCACCCTCACCCTTAGGACCAAGTACTAAGGCAGTCAAAAGGCATATGATTCACTCTTTGTTCTTGGAAGTTCTGGTGCATGAAGTTAAGACTTAAACTAGAAAAAAAAATTCACATATACATTTTAGAACTCTCTGAAAATTAATTTTTCCAAATAACAAGCTCTAAAAACTAACATTCAAAGTAACCAAACTGTAATATCATGAAGTTTACCACACCACGCATACATTACCTGCTACTCAAATTCAAAGTCACAATCCTCCAATTTTGTACCCTAAAATCCTCCTTTTGGACACTAAAACTTTATACTATTATGTTAAGACTACATAGAAATGATTGGCTAGAAGCGTTATGTTAAGATTGAATCTTCTCCAGATCTGTCTTCATGGTACAGCCTCACAGCATACTCTGGAGAAACACAAGCACATCCTGTCACCCAAATTAACTTTTTTTTTCCTTTATCTTCTTGAGTTATCTTTCTATTTCTGCACTTAGATATTTTATAAATTAAAAATAGTATTGTATATATTGGCCAGTGAAGCTGAAGTCATTTTTTCCTCTTTTTGTTTTTGTATTTGAATTTTGATTGGGCAATGAGGAACCTGTATCCTATATTTTGTTAGAGGAAACCATCCCATAGCCTCCCTTATATGAGCCAGTTGTAAAAACAAGCAAATTAATTTAAGCTATCTCAAGGATGACAATTAATAACACCAGAGAAATTAGCCCCAAATCTGGATGAAGGTGAATTGAATTTTAAGTATGTCACAAAATGTAATCAGGATTGTCATACTGCAAGATGTATATGATTTTGATTTCAAAATTTCTGTGTAATAATATGTAGTTTTATCTTTCAACCTTCTATAGATATTTAAATATTAGAATCTATATGATTGTTAGAAAGTAGCAGTTCTGCTTTTTGTCCAAGGTGTTTGATATTCAGATAGAAATACTAAGCTTACTGCCTCAATTGCAGGGGAATGTCATTAAGCTTCTCTTCTGAATGTTTAACACTTGTGAGGTTGGGAGCCCCAATATTACAGATATGGATGGCTAAGAGGCTCTAGCCTTTAGCTCTCTGAGGTCAATGAGGGTTCAGAAGATAAAGAAACTCAACTGTGACATCCTATAACACAGGTGAGTCCCTGATTTTCTGATCAAGTAGATTAAGGGACTGCAGAGGAAACTGATTCAATGATGCATAGTGTGCCTAAGGAGAGTAACCTGGACATAAAAAAAATAGCTCAAGCTTTTACATAAAGCAACTTGGACAAGCAATGACTGTGACTCATCCAGATGACTGACACAAATAGAGGATCTAAGAGGTGTTGTACTATATTGCAAGGTAAATCCTGAGGAGAATTGACCGACCTTGTTAGATAGCAAAGAGTTAACTTTGCAATTGTGCAGGACTTGCTTTAGGTTGGTCTTAGCCATCC